GGTGGCATCAGCCCCAGGTCCGGCGGCTCCAGATGTAGCGTACGGTCTTGGGGCTAGTGCCGTACTTGCTGGCAACGAAGGCGCTCTCGACGGTTGCATGCCCAGCCTTGAGGCATCGCTCGGCGTAGATCTCGGCCGCGAGCTTCGAGGAGAGGATGGTCTCATGCGAGGGGAGGTCGCTCTGCTGATCTGCATGCGCAGGCGGATCAGCATTGCCGAGGTGTGTATCTTGTGTTGGATGTAACGACGCATGCTCTTCGGAAGAGGTCGGCATGTCGGTGTGCATATCGGAGTGGTTCGCCTGCATTCCCTATCCGGCTTGCATGAATGAGTTGCCTTCAGCGTAAGCTGGTGCGGGAGTAGTTCGATGCGGTGCGGACGGGGCAAGGTACCGGCTATAGGGCTTGAGATCAAGACCCCACCTACTCAATCCAGCACCCTGCCCGTACAAGGCGTGAGAAGCCTTAGGGGTAAGATTTAGGATCTCCCAGAGGGGGTGGGGGGTGTGTTGGTGGCCGTTACGAAAAAGAGACCTTTCGGACATCGCATGAGCGTCATCCAGACAATGCCTATTATTATATCCTCATCCTGCTAGTTTCTGTACCCCTACCCCTCTCTCATTCTACAACTGATCCTCTATGATCGCTGCACTATCCCCTTACCCCCCTGCTTCTCGCTGCCAGTACCCTTTTATGGATCGGTTCACGCCGGGGTAATTTATAGGAGAGCTAAAACTCTTGTTGAACTTATCAAAACCTCTCCTTTTCAAAAACCCTCTCTCGATCCTCTATATCATATCCCAACTCGTCTAGTTTCTGTACCCCTACACCTCTCTCATTCTACAACTGAGCCTCTATGCTCGCTGCACTATCCCCCTACCCCCCTGCTTCTCACGGCCAGTACCCTCGAGCTTAATGACGCTATTTGTCATCGATTCACGCCGGGGTAATTTATAGGAGAGCTAAAACTCTTGTTGAACTTATCAAAACCTCTCCTTTTCAAAAATCTCTCTCGATCCTCTATATCATATCCCTACTCTTCTAGTTTCTGTACCCCTACACCTCTCTCATTCTACAACTGAGCCTCTATGCTCGCTGCACTATCCCC